AGGTGTACTTGGCGCTGTAGCATCTGCTGGAACAGTGCGAAGTTTGTAGGTGGTAGAGCGAGAATCGTCGATTTCGCATTCATCGTCGAGGTCGATGAGAGGAAGGATTGGTTTGTCTCGCAGCTTAGACTCGAAGCTGGTGTATGCGTCTTTGGCAATCTTCATGGTGAGGAATAGGTGAGGGTAGTGAAGCTATTGTGTTTTGTTAAAAATGCACTACGCTAAACTATGTGTAAAGATCTTTCGAGTTTTTGAGTTTGAGAGAAATGAAAGTTATGAGTCCAGGCTGCCTGGACGGAGCAGCTCAGCCTGATTTGGACGATGCTGACATTCCGTTTGGCATAAATTCCTGTATCGAAGCAGTCTGTCCCTTACAGGCTCTCCTATTGAAAAGCAGGAACGCTCTCTGCGCCGCAGAGATCCGTAAGCTGCTGATATATGACATCGGGCTTATGTCAACACAACCTCCAGTCGGATAATCCTCATGCAACCGTTCCTCGTCTACACCTTCTGACCCAACCAAACATTGAAACATGACGAAGTCATGACATTGTTTGTCATGGAATTCCAACTCGTGGATGAAGAAGATGAGACGAACACGACATTCGACTTCCTTATCTCAGCTCCACGAACACACAGCATTGGACTTCTGCCGAACCATGGAATCATCCGAAGACATTTGGACAAGGCGGATGATGCCAAGCAAGCCTCCCTACGAAGAAAACAACGCAAGAAGAAAGTCCTACTCGCAACAACTACCCTCTTCAAAGAACAAAGAAAAATCGTGCGACTACCACGAGTCCAGCAACCACAACACTGCTGACTGCTATGATCGTATAAGAAGTCAAGGCCAAGTTCAGTCTCGTCTGACAAGATAACAGAGCCAGCGTACAACAGAACAAGACTTGGAAACGCTAAACTGACGACGCCAAATCCTACACCAAGAAGGAATTCTCTGTCTCATGAAGAAAGTTTCCACAGCTGCGGTCAAGGCTGGATCGCAAGAAGAAAAGACGAATGCAACCATGTTGGCAAGCGCAAGTCAGACAACTCGACAACGAGGACGACTCCTCTTTGGATCCATCAACATGATGGACAAGAAAATGGCTGCGTTGGACAAGGCGCTTGCCGGATTCGACTTCAATCATTTGGATGGAGAGATCTCCGTCTGAGGATTGGCCAGGATGATGATTCAATGGAACCATGTTCCGATTTCTCATACCCAAGTGATAAGATATCTCACTAATAGTAAACAAGATTTGTTGCAATAATGAAGTCTACGGCAAATTAGATAATTTCTAGAACTCTCAACTAGACCTCTGACGATCTGTTCAGCATCGTTAACTTCGTCCATGGCAATCAACTCATCAACGTCGCACGACAAGAACCTCGAAACAATCGTCTATGTTAGATTTAACAGACAAGAGAAAGGGAACAAAAACCCGTTACACTCTGTTCTACTGATACAGGAGAGCATCCGGAACTTAATTACTCAAACTCATGCAAAGAGTTTACTCATGAAGAATCATGGGGGCGTCCAAACATTACGGACTGCTTCTATGAAGGAATCGAACCCCCGCACGAAGTGTAAGGCCACACTCGTGATTCCTGAGTTCCACGATGTAGAATTATCGAATGGAATTGCACGTCACCAAGAACTTGGGGGCGCAAGACATGATCATAGGTCAAGACACTCTCTTCGACCTATAGAATCAAGTTTGATTTCATACCATGTCAATGGAGTGGAACAGCGTATTTTTTCCTGCGAAAGATGGCGATACGATGAAAGGAGAACTTCTCCATTCCCGATCCTGCAGCTGTCAGCGACATGCAGATAATCTCAAGAAGATTCTTGAATACACATACGAACAAGAAGACTTAAGGCAGATGTGCCAGAGTCGAAACCAGTTAAATAAGGAAGAGCAAGAACTGCCTCATGCCTTTTCAACCAAGTGTTCGTCGAGGATACTTGGGAGAGTTGCGAATGGAGACTACGAAGTAAACTTCGTCCCGACGCTAAAACCTATTATACTAGGGCTCACCCTACTCCACGGGTCATACCAACACTCTTAAGAAGAGGTTGAACGTCTCTGCGAGGCAGGAGTACTCAAGAGAAGGTGAATCGTTCCGAGTGGGCAGCACCAACTTTTATCATTCCCAAGAAAGAGGGATCTACGATTCATCTCTGATTTCCGGGACCGAACAAAAGGATCAAGCGGAAGCCTTATCCTATCCCAAAATACAGGACATGCTCTTGAACTAAACAAAAGGATTAAGCGGAAGCCTTATCCTATCCCAAAAATACAGGACATGCTTGAACCTAGAGGATTCAAGTGCGCTACTAGTCTCGACCTGAACACGGGACACTACCACATCGAGCTGTCACCTCACTCGAAGCAACACTGTACCATTGCACTCCCGAGGGGAAAGCACGAGTACCAGAGGTTGCCAATGGGCCTATATAATAGTCCGACATCTTCCAAAGGAAGATGAAAACACGCATGCATGACGTAGGAAATGTCCGTGCATATATTGATGATCAACTCATCCTAACGACGTCGATCTGAGGATCGCGTTGAATAGTTAGATGCCTTTTCCAAAGACTTCAAGAAGTCGGGTTAAAATCAACACTACCAAGGCCTTCCTCGAAAGGAAGAACTTGAGTATCTAGACAATTGGGCTACTCGAGAAGGAATCCAACCCTTAACTAAAAAGATAATAGATGCGATCCAACTATCGCTCTTCCTACCAACAGGAAGGAACTTCGTGATTCATTGGACCAATGAACTACCAAGGGCTCTCCAAGACAGCAGACGGAGTAACCATCGTTCTGAAACAGACGAGGTTACCCAGTATCCATGACCGGTTGTCATGGAAGAGAACGTGAGTCCCGCGCAGAGTCGAGAAGACTCTCCGGATGAACGTGGACTTCGTCCCAAGTTCACGCGCGTCAATCGTGACAAGATTCACCACATCCGTTTCAAAGTAAACCGGAAATACATTAAGGAACGTCGCCAACGACTTATCAGAAAAACACCGATGAGGGAAGACACGACACGTGTCCCTCATCAACCCATGTCAACGATACTATGATGATTCATACGTATCAGAACCGTTAGTACGGTCGCCAAAGGTCCTTACCACACAGACCGAGTCAAATAAATGGCACTGTACGGCTCCGAAATACTACCGCCAGTAGCGGCACAGTCTACCAGACTTGGAACATAAGGTTTACACCCATACAAGGCCTGATCCCCTTGTAGGATTGCCATCGTGCCGCACATGTCTACATCCAACTCGAGAGTGCCCCGCACTTTAATTCATATGTTTCCTTGTCCGACTGATGTCGTGCCTTCCGTGACCCTTGTCAGGGGCGAATGCAATACACGGCTCTTAGCCTTATTCGCGACTCGATCCTAGATAGGGTTTGAGTTCGACTCATGACTGAGTCTCTCGTGAATAGTCATTGAACAGGGTTCTCAAGACCGCTCTAGTCATACTAGGTTGATGATGAAACATCGCTCTAGATATTTAGCCAGCGTGGAGTACTTCCACGCTACTAGATAATGCTAGACGAATCTTCCACGCGTTCCGTTTTTTGGATCGTGGAGTGAGTAGGATTGCTACCACAACCTACTCTATCACACTCTACAGTCTCCCGCGGGAGTTCAGATCTACGATCCTTTGATTGTGGATCTCTCTCGTTGATTAGTTTTCATAGCTTTCTAATCCTCTCATAACTTTCATTCTCTCAAACTCAAAACACTCGAAAGATCTTTACACTAGCTTTTAGCGTAGTGCACATGAACATCTCTCGCAGGTTGGTGAATCGATGGTAGGACATAGACGTTCTGATCCATTCGAGGCCATGGCTCTTCTTGAGGTCGTTGATTACCTTGCGTATTGGGGTCGTCCAGGCGTTGGAGTGTCCTATACAGAAGAATAATGATCGGTTCCGGTTCCTCTTTCGTTGCTTGGCATCTCTATCTGGTTCGTTTGCTTTGTCCTCTTGTCTCTGGAAGTATCGTTGTATTTCTTCTTGGAGTATTGGTATCTGGTCTGGAACCAGTCCAGCTTTCTTCAGCGCCTCGAAGTGTAGTGGATAGATCTCATCGAGGGTTTGGTTGGCATTCTTGTTGGTAACTGTAGTGAGTTTAGCAAGTCTTTGGAACACCCCTAGTGGAATGTTTTTGAGGCATGCGTTTGTGTGGGTAGTTCCCCTGTTTAGATATTTTAGGTGTTGGTTCGGTTTTAGGTGGACTCGAAAGTGAAGTTCTTCCTGGTCCGACCAACATGTACGCATTTACATTATTATTATTTTTTTAATAGTACTCGTACCAGCATACCAGCCGCGCGAACACTGCCAGTAAGCCTATTTACAGCCTTCGGAAAGACTGACGTCGACTCGAAAATTTCGATGAGTTGGGGAGTATACTAGTACGGTACTTTTCGATGTACAGTGTTATCGGAGCCGGAACAGTACCCAGGAGGGGCTCCGCTGACGTCACTTTTGGCGAGGCAAAACTGTTTGCTTCAAAATGGAAAGCACCAAAGACTCACAAACAATGACTCATGACTCGTGCGGCTCGCGTCATTAGCGTTTAACTTGCGTAGACTCGCACAAACTCGCACAAACTCGCACAGAATCGTGACTTTAATCCTGCAAAAAGCTAGAGACTCGCAAGGACTCGCATGGACTCGCACAGATTCGCATTTTTCCATTGAAACTCGCATGACTCCTATGAAAGTCAAACTTTGCGAGTCGTGCGAGTCTCGCCAAAAGGTTGTTTCACCAGAAAGTTTCCAATCATCGTGACGTCAGCGGAGCCCTTCCCTGTTATCCCCTGCCTCCCGTTGCGGTTCGGGTGGCCACCTCTCGAGCACTTGAACCACCGGTGCGGTGAATAAAACCTCAATCGCGACAGAGTGACCCCCAGATAAGACACAATATTTTTTGTTGACGCAAACGCGCGATGATGCCAACATCGGGCCAAGAGAAGATGCATGTATCTCCTTCGGAGGTAGTTCCTGGAAGCACAGCCAATGACCTGGCCAACGGAGGTTCCCATCTCGTGATTGATAAAACAGTTGCGCAAGAAGGAACAGCCGGAGATAAACAAGAAGCAATCGAAGACGGTACTGTTTGTCCTGGTACCATCAGCAACAAGGGCAGCAACAATGAGGTTGGTAATACCGGTATGGCGGAAATCCAACCGCAACCTTTCTCGAGCTCAAATGTATCTGTTCATTCTCCCAAGGCGATTGACGTCCTCCAAGGTGTGCCAACCAGTACGCCAAAAAAGGTGTCCAAGAAGGAAACGATTGACCCACAGCTTGCGGCCATGGGGACTCCCGTCTCCGTAGAAGAGTGGATGGCTGTTCCTCGAAAGCGCGCGTCCAATGCGTCTACTTCATCTACTACTCACCATGGTAGTTCTTCAGATAACGACGACGATGATGCTGCACGAAGTTTCTCGGCAGCACCAGTTTTTCGCACCGTCGTAGCTGACACCAGTCTCCCCGGAGCCTACGCGAGCGCACCTGGGTTCGCCTACTTGTCCAATCGCCTCCCTGGTCTGCATGGTTCGTTGGTAGGCCACTCTTCGAGAAGCTTTCAAGGCGACAGTCCCACGCACGCAAGTTTCAACCACGATGGAAGCCTGGTGGAAGCTAGACTGGTGTCCGAAGAAGGAACCATAGCGACTGCACAACCAGCAGATACGTTTGTAAGACGCCGTCCACAACGATCTTGTTGTGGTGGTTCCCCCAAGAGTACTGCGTGTCTGTGCCTACTTGGAGCGACGATCGGGGCTGGAGTGATCGTACTGCTCCTCTGGGGGGGAGGCGTGTTGCGGCAATCTTCTACAGCCAACCAAAGCGACCATATTGGAAGGCCAACGACTCCCGCTACATTATCACCGTATGAGTATTTGGCACAATATCTTCCAGCGGATTCGATAGTGTCAGCGGAACAAGACCCACGCTCCCCTCAGGCGCTCGCAATCGAATGGTTTGTCCAAGACCCCTTCTTGAGAAGCTACAGCACACGACAGAGGATCCAGCAACGCTTTGCCCTGGCTACTATATTCTATGCCCTCAATGGAACTACCTGGACCAAGAACCGAGAATGGCTCTCATACGATCATCACGAGTGCTCCTGGTACAGCGGTCCCAGTGAAGATGTGATTCATGTGCCAAAACCTGCCCAGTCACCCTGTCGAGGAGATGCCAATATATTGACAGCTGGCAACAAAAGCACCCATGAGTGGTATACACACTTGTGGCTTGGTCGAAACAACTTAAATGGAGTACTTCCTGTCAGAGAACTCTCTTTGCTATCCAATCTGGAATCGATTGACATGGGCTATGGCCATGTTCGAGGAAAGCTGTTCACAAAGGATCTACTCCAGCTATCCAATCTAAAGGAGATGAGCCTCTTGACAAATCAGATTAGTGGCACCCTGATGACAGAGATTGGACTCATGACGAACTTGGAAGTCTTGTTGATGGGGAAAAGGGGCAACAATTTTCAGGGAGGTTTGCCCTCAGAGTTGGGCTTACTCACTGACTTACATGTCTGCAGGTACAAGGTCAAGAGCCCACCTTCTCGTTGGATAATATTATTTGCAAACTCATTGGATCCTTTCTTTGCAGCCTATCGGGTTCAGACTTTACAGGGACAATCCCGACTGAGATTGGGAGCATGTCAAGCCTACGTGTTCTTGGTCTGGCAGGTACTCTGTTGACAGGACCAATGCCTTCAGAGATTGGGTTGCTCTCCTCCATGTGGCTCACGTATTTCTTTCGAAGCCAACTATCTGGTCAAGTTCCATCAGAAATTGCTCAGCTAAAGGAACTGTCTTGGTTTCACATCCAGGACAATGTTTTCAGTGGTACCATTCCAACACAGTTTGGTGCCATGCCTTCAATGCGTGAATTGGCAATGACTGGAAACCACCTTACTGGGACTATTCCTTGGGAGGTAGGCTCCAACGGCGCCCTCTTCTTGCTTGACCTGGCCAGAAACCAGTTCCAAGGAACATTGCCTTCTCAACTTGGATCTCTCACCTTGTTGGAAGAGTTGAACTTGGGTCAAAATACTTTGTCTGGACCAGTGCCTACTGAGTTCGGCCACCTCCATTCCATTACAGAGTTGCAATTGAATGACAACTTATTGGTTGGGTCTTTGCCCTCTGTACTGGGGCTTTTGGAGAGGCTGCAAAGCTTCAATGTAGCAAACAACAACCTTTCAGCGTTGTTCCCATTTGAAATCTTTTCTGAGTCATGGAGTAACATCACAAGGCTCAATGTAAGCTCCAACGCACTGCTGAGTGGCTTTGTGCCATCAAGCCTTTGTGAACGACTGAATCCAACAAGGCTGGGGTTTGACTGCACTGATGACATGTGTGGATGTGACTATTGTCCATGCCCAACTAGATGATGTCTACTCTCCATTCGTAGAAGGGATTTGTGAAGGATTGTGACTATGGCTTGGGGCACATCCTGTCCAAAACAAGAGTGTGGATTCTTTTGCATATTCGAAACAATAAGCTCATGTTGCTTATGAAGTCCTTTGATCTTTGTTCAAGCTAGTAGGAAATGCTGCTTCTTGGCTGGTTTCTACATGGAAATTGAGTTCCGTGCGGAGTAACCGAGTGTCCGCAACCTGGAAGCCAGCATGACCGACAGAACAAAACTGCAAGTGCTACCAGCCACTCCAGTATTGGCGTTGAAGCAGCAAACTAGCACCCTGTGCCCATGCTCTTGTCTGTGTACATCGGCCTCCTAGTGCTGTCCAAAGCCAGTTTTCCTGCTCTAAGCCTGCCCGTCGGGTGGTCAGAAGAAATCTTCAGTCAAGGTAGCTCTGCTTTCAATCCTTAACCTGACATCAAATCTTCTTCTTGGCTCCTGCCCTTAAACCAGCGTTGTCTGGCTCTTCCCCAGTCCTGCCGGTACTACTAGCTAGTACCGGCAGACTGAAAGCAATCACCTGAAAAGGATTGAATTATTAGATCTGATATCAAGGTAGCTCAACAGGCTCATTGAGACGCCGGTTGGATCAGTTGATGAATCGAATCGAATCGAATCGAATCAATGGAAGTCATTCTCTTGTTTTGCAAGCTGAGCTAATAAATCCTGATGGCGAGCTGCCAATTGCCAAGTGACTTACCGAGTATGTCATTATTTGAGGTGTCATTCTCTATTATTTGTGGCTGATGCTTACTGGTATTCTTTCTTGCTTCATCTGTCAGATTGGTCCGTACCGTATGGTACCGGTTACCGGTTGAGTAAAGCAATTTGATAGATACCGCGGCTGTACCGGTTCCAATGTGACCTTCCGGTTATACAGCCGTGGCCACCATCGCACGACAATCGACCATCACACCATAATGACCATAATGTGAAGTTGTACAGCAGTTCTGCCAGATACTGCACAAAGCCGTGGTGCTTTCCATCTTCCCAGTGTGACATGCATGACCTTCCAATGTGCTGCGGCCACCTTTCCAGAACCATTGTGATTAATTTTTGAAGTTCCGCCAGATACTCCCGAAGTTGCCTTGAATAGAAAACAGGAACACATGAACCTTCGGATGATTCGATTCTCGTAGCAAGAAACCGCAATGGGCTGGACACTCCAATCAAGCCCTCGCAGTTAAACCTTTTTCTGCGTTGTGGATTGAATGCACATATATATTATGATACCGGTACAATCGCAAGAGTTTTACTACAGTTTCAGTAGACAGTTGGCAAGTACCATTGGAGCACCGGGGGACGGGTGTCTCTTGAAGATGTAAGTGGAACCTGAGAAAGCAGAGTCGAAGGATTATCCCAAAATTCACCCAAAGAGAGAGGAGCTACGAACCGGTAGAGTGGGAAAAAAAGTGTCTGGAAAGTCTCTCCTTCTCATTTCTGTCGGTGAGCAATTTCCCATTACCCAGTAGCAGTGTACCGGTACTAGCTAGTTCGGTGGTGGTGGCCCATGAATTCGCAGCAGAAGCACACAGATTCGATTCATTTATTTGACTACCAGTCGAATCGAATCTTGGGCTCAGATTCGAGAGACAGTCATTCCGTTCTCCCCCCCTCCTCCCATTTCTCCTCTGTTGTTTCAAACAAAATCATTCAGGATGGGTATCAACGAGAATAGTCTGCCGCTACTCGACGATGATGAGCTCTCTGTCTCGAGTAAGCTGTCCTCGGACAACGGATCTAGCACCTTTGACCCCACGGACAGTGATGAACGCAACGCAGACTTTAATGAGGTGAAAAACCTCACTCGCAAAGAGAACGAGGCAGTGGAAATGTGGAGGGAGCTTGTGACTGGAATGCTGGTCATCACCGCTTGTTTGGTCACATGTGGATCTTTCATCTACCTGTCCATCGATGAGACAAGTAGCTTCAAGACATCGGTACGTTGGCGGCTGTGTTCCCGTGGGCATGCATCGACTCGACAGTAAGCGCCAAGATGCAAAGCTGATCTTTGTTGCTGTTCTCGAAAGTCGTCTTTGAAGGCTTTGTCCCAACGGGCGTTTCGAAACTGTTTTTGCTCCTTGTCTGCAATGTCAGTGGCCAGCACAGAATTGACGACCAGCTGTCGGAAGCGCTCCCAGTCAGTTTGAGTTGCAGCAATTGCTTTTCTCAACTCTGAATAGTCTGGCATCATCAACAGATTCCAAGACTCATCCACAGAGTTCTGCTCGGCTACGCTCTTGCCCTTGTAGCGGATTGCTGTGGCCGTCTCTTCCGTCACAAGCTGAGTGTTGGGTACGCCCAAGTGGTCAACATCATGGATCAAAGCTGATAGGACAACTGCAAACTGGGTAAGTGGATCCGAGGTGATACTGTTTGTTTCATGCAAATGGTGAGACTTTCAGGTGGCAGAATGGAACATGAGCAATGTAACCCTCGGTTTTGTACTTACCCGTACGTGTTGCTAGCACACAGGAGGAGGGTACAAGTAAAACACAACACACGTTAGTAGAGATCCCTTGCCATCAATTACCCATTGGAAGCAAGTGACTTACTCGTGCAACTTGGAAGCAACAGATTTCATGAATGCCTTCTCATTGACGTTTTCGTCATCCACGACGTCCAGATCAGTTGGAGCCACAATTCGAGACAACAGCTTCACGACAGACATTGTAACATGGGATGCATGCTGCAAGATAACGATGCAGGAGGAGGAATGAGTCAAGTAGCCGAGAACACTTGAGTTGAGTTTGCACCCAGCAAGCAATGAATACAAACCTCAAAATTGTGGAAAGGGTTGTCATGGTACATGGCGGCGAGTTCTGCAACAAAGTTGTGGAGCTGATTCACAACGACGGGAGGAACTGGTTCTTCTTCAGCGTTGGCAACAACTTGAGCAACCTTGGAAGAGAATCGTGGCAACTGGATGACCTCAGAAAGCTCTTCCAGCACCATCGTTGGCTTTGCCTTTTCGGTGGCATTCTTGTCCAATGTTTTGGTCCTTTTCACCTGTCTATCCTTGACCTTTCGGGTCGCTGCAATTTGTCGTAGAACTCGGTGTAGGATATCCACATTCCATTCAACGAGGCGACGGGTTTTCCTCGGCAGATCACTCTCCTTTTGATTCCTCGGAATATCATAGTAGGACAACCCTTGACCACTTTCCTCTGCGAAATTCTCTCCCGAGTCCCCAATAGACGATGCTGCGCCAAGGGACAACCAGAAGGTCGTCAGCTGACCTTTTCCTTTGGCTTCAACCTTGTCTTCTCTCTCTCTAACCCAATGGGCCCTCCCTGAGTTGCATATCAGTTCCGCTGTCTCTTTGGACAATTGAATACAACCGCGGACACCAGTGGATTCAATTCTGGAAGCTGTGTTGACGTGTCACCAAACAATTGGAATCTCAAGCGATCAGCACGCAGAACTCCAGCAGTGACAGGTCCACTGTGCAGTCCAACTCGCATGGAAAGGTCCCCTGCAGCCATACCAGAATGAATGGAAAACACTTATATGAGAGAACAAAGCTGGCACCTTTTGATTGAAGCAGTCACCCATCGAACCTACCAGTGTCTGGGCCCAATGAAACTTCAAGACTTCTTGTGACCTCATGAAGTTTGTACATGATTTCCCTGGCAAATTTGGCCATGACCAGAGCATGGAGTTTGTGGGGTTCTATAAGTGTCACAGTAACAAGAGAGTAGTGTAAGGAATGTTTCACAAGGTGAAAACCACATGATCAAAGTCAAAACAAAGTTCACCAAGCTCACCTGGCAATCCCGTCACAGCAACATAGCAATCCCCAATCGTCTCCACTGTGTTGCAAAACAGACGTGAGACAAATACATGTGATTGGTAACCATTGAAAAACAGTTAAAGGAGCAAGCAGTTTACCTTTGAACACCTTTCGTCGCTTGGCAATCTCATCAAAAGCCCGATAGATGGTTTCCAGCAGAAGTAAAACCTGGGTTGGCTCCCGCATGGAACTCCAAGCAGTAAAACCTAAGGCAGCATCCAAAGGCAGAGAAATGGTCAGCTTTGACTCGCTTTTGGATCGATGCTCTCAAGAACTCCAGTAGCTTACCCACAATGTCAGCAAACAGAACCGTGCAGTTTGGGAAGAGATCGGCGATCGGTTTATCATCCTCCGCCGCGACACTCGTTCCATCGTCGCCATCGTTCAAATAAGACTTGAGACGCAAGCTTCCAGCCCATGTAGAAGATCGACGGCGCCTGCTGCTGTTTTCGTCCCCTTCGCCACCATCTTGGTTGAAGAGCCTTTCACGGATACTCCTTGGGAAGAAGCTCGACACGATGCGGTTTGTTTTCACAGCCTGCCTAAACACCTTTTCCTGGCGTTTTTGGACGTACTTGTCATAGGAAAAAAAGACAAAAGCCATCACAAAGAACACCACTGCAATGATCACAGTAAGACTTCTGGCATGCTGGAGCTGAACGACCCCCTCATTTCGCTACTGGGATAGACCAGCAGGGAGAATGAGCAGGGAGTCGTGACATTGTGTGAATCCCATCGGGTTGTCACCTGAACTTCTTGTCCCAAATGCGTGTAGAAGATATCGTGAAGGTTCCCCTTCCCAACATAGTGCACTTTGCCACCGTTGAGCTCGTACGTGAACATCCCCGAGCAGGAACAGTTCAGGACATAGAAGAGCCCCGTATCCCCTTCTGGGAGGAGATCCGCCAAGAAGAGCTGCCAGTCTAGATAGATTTCAAACATGCCCACCACGGCCGCATCTTGGCCGAATGATTCGAAAATGGGGTAGAACATGAAACTTTTGGGTGCCATGTCAATAATGTCCGCTTCCCGATGCAGCATTGCGGTGTTGGTGAAATCCTCCGTGATAACGCCGGAAAGGACGGGTTTCTCGTTGGCAATCATGAACTCAAAGAACTCCATGGAGCCCTTGGAAGAAACTACATCAAAGTTGACTGGAACGGGATCATTCGGCGTGGGTGACATTTGCCACCGGGGAGTGTAAGGGCCCGGTCCCACATTTGTCGCAGTGGGCTTGCGGTCCTCGACCCTGTAGATGTACTCGGGGATACTGTTCTCAGCTGCTACGGCAGCCGATAGGTTTTGCATTTCTTGTTCCGTGTGGGCATGCGTCTGGTTTCCGACAAGCCACCATTGGTTATTGAGCGCGTATTCTTCCCAAGCGCTCTTCTCTGGTTCCATGACGATTGGGCAAACGGAAAAGTAGGTCACGTGCGCGATGACTCGAGTATCATCGCCGTGGATATCAAAGAAGGGCATGGTGACCAGTGGCCATGCAGAGCCACTGCTCTGGGCATGTGTGGTGAGCTTATCCCCCATGGACTTGAAACCGGAAATGGTTCGCTCGAGCGCGTCTCCAGCTGCGTCGTCGATTGTAACGACATCTTGGTTGAACTATGAGTAAGAGTTAAAAGTGA